ACATACATAGATACATACATACACGCATACACACACAGATACATATACATATACATATACAAAAACACATACACATACAAAAGCAAAAGCATAAACATAAACATGTACTACATATACATGTACATATACATTTATATACTCATATACATACACATACATACATACGTACCTACCTACCTACGTACATACATACATACACACATGTATGTGCTTGCGAAGCCAGCTTCCCCTCTAACGCTGTCTTTCTGAAAGTCTGCCTTCCACTTTCACCCTAGAGGCAGGACTGCATAGTACAGAACATGCTCTTGGTACTTACTACTTGGGCTCGACGACTGCGCCGTCTCTGCGGTAGTGATGGGTAGTAGATAATCACGCACACGCATGCACACAAACATATACACGGAAACGGGCACAGACACGCGCACTCCAACGGAAAGGTGATGATGAATCTGGTTACCGGAGTCTTTGTCGATGGGGCACAGCGCATCGCGCGCGAAGAGAAGAATCAGGATGCTCCGGGTTCAGGGCGGTTGAGGTTTCGGATGTTTGAGGGAGCGCTGCGAGGGTAAGGGAGGGCAGTCTTAAGTAGGCTTCGAAGAACGCGGTCAGGTCGAAGAGACCTGCTGGTAAGCCTCTGAGCCTTCTTGGTAGAAGAGCCTGTGACAGGCTCTCACCCTTCGCCCTCCCGAACAGAGTCAACGTCAAAGCAAAGTCCTAAACTCGGCTTCCGAAAAAATGAACCTTCTGGCAAGTCCGAGAGCCGGCTCCCTGAGAGTTGGAGTAGTTTGGAGCAGCTTTGAGTGGCTTCCGGTGAGTGTCAGAACCCCGAGACTTCCTCCGGCGCCAGGAGCTGCTGAAACATGTGAGGAGGCTCTTGGCCCCACAGGAGGCTCGGGCCGGCAGTGGCTTGCCTGCAACTGTTGCAGTCTCTGACATAGTCCCCTTGTTCATGCTTAGCCTAGGTCATCCTAAGTGCCCTAAAGGGTCGGCGTTACTGCAGCCACTGTCAACATCGTGCCTTTAGAGTAAGCGTCTTGGAACAATCCCCCATATTGCCCTCCGAGACCTGCGGTGGTTGCCAGGGCTCGCAGTGTGGGAGACAGGATGTATAGGGTTGTGTAAGAAGCATGCTTTTGAGCATCTGTCGGCTCAAGACATATTGAAGGACTTGGTTCCGAGAATGAAAAGTCGATTCCACGTTGACTGTTCAGGCTCTTGGCATCTAACTCTGAAGCAACCGGGTTAGAGACGAAACATTTTCGCTCCGAGAAGTAGTTTTCACGGGATTCTTTACCTTCGGACTCCTTGTGGTGCTCCCTTCTGAGCTGCTGCTTTTGCAAGTACAACATGTCACGTTCCATCGAGTTGTCGAGCCGTCCAGCCTACAGCTCAGGATCCAGCACAGGACCGCGTGGGGGCGACGATGGAATCTCGGCCCTTTGATTAGGGAGGGACGAGGGGCACCTATGGCACATGGGCCGTGTTTGGGCCTCTTTCGCTGGTGCACATATTTGGCCGCAAAGCTCTGCTGTTCCCAGAACAAAAAGCAAACTTTGGTTCATGTCTCTTTGCTTGTGTCACTTCTTCGATGATCCGTGAACTCTTAACGACAAGTTTCGTTTTCGAGGTTGTCAACTTGAAGGTGCACCGCCTTGTCTTGGTTCTAATCAGTAAGTTCATCCGTTGCCCACCGCATCACCACTCATGTGAGTGTGACTGCCAGTTATGTCAAAAGCAAAGCGAAGCAGGATAATCGTCATAAAAGACCTGTGAAGAACAGAGAGCATCGACGCCTCTCTGAACTTGTATATGCTGCGTGGAATCACATGCAAAAGCACACAAGCTGTTACCATCCGAGACCTGGTGACATGGCTCGAGTTCTGCCAGAAGCTGCAAACGGAAGAGATGAGCGCGTACCTGACGGCTTTCGAGATGGATGCTGGCCAGGCTAAGGAGCTCAGCCACAGTTAGCAGCTGCACGAGAGTTGTCGCGAGTAGCTGAGTGGCTGTAACAATTCTTGTGAAGCATTGATCCGCAGCATCGCATCACGTGAACCATGGTCTTCCTGTGTCCGAGCCTCGGTATTCAGCTTGTCAAAGTACTCCGTAGGAGACCTGTAGAGCAGAATTGGATATGTTGTGGGTCTCCAGATATATACGAGCCACCGTGTGTCAAGTGACTGGAGCGACACTTTCTCATGAGCAGTTAGTTCGGAGGTTACAGTCGGCCAGAGCTTTTTGAATTGGAGTTTGCACTTCGATTCACGTATTCAATGCAGTTCGATGACATGCTTGGTCCAGGGCGCGTAGCCCGAAATCCGGAGAGTGGGGGGCGGGGACTGCAGGACATCTTCTACATCCTGGATCAAGAGCGACAGGGGAAGGTGACAATGCGCGAGTTTTTCTCTGCACCTCGGCAGCTCCCATTGCGAGCAGAGGTCCTAAAGGATTGAGGGTAATCCCTTTTTTCAGGAGCCTCCTGTGCTGCTGTGTTGGGTCGACTGAGTCTGGGAGAGAGGAAGTAAGTTCAGCGCGTCACAGGAGAAACTGCGGAAGCCTTTCAAGTCAATTTTCATGTTAGTGACAAATAGACTTAAATAGAATGTATGAGACCAAAACACATGTAAGCAAATCGCGCGCGCGCGCGAGAGCGAGACAGAGACGGAGAGAGTCACATTCGGCATGTGTAAACTGGCAGACTTCTGGAGTTGATGGTATGTAAGGTGTGTACAGGTGTAGTTTAAGAAGTTTGGGCTGCGGCCTCTCCGATTATCCAATATAAGGAAAGCGCAAGTGGCGCAATCGACGGTCGGAGCTACCCCGAAACACCACTGAGACTATCCTTGCTCCACTGAGCAGATACAGCTTCCTGTGATGGTAGCATAGAGAGAGTTTACGTTGAAAGGGCCCGTCATCGGGCCAAACTCCACCGACCTTTTAATTCCCTACTACAGTATGAAATCCCCGGTCAACTTCGATTCTCTGAGGCCTGTGTGAACCTTCACGGCGCGCCCAGGACTGGTTGGGGTAAACGTGTGCCTGTAGTCTCCCGAGGTGTAACAGAGTCTGCCCACGGGAAGATGTTTGGGCCCCAGGGTGATTTTGAGTTGGTTCGGGGACTTTACAGGCTGAGATTGAAGACTGGAAGTCTCGAACGGAATTGGAGGAACCAAGGGCCTCCCCAAGCCGGGCATCAGCCGCACTTGGGAGTTGTGTGAGTCCATGAGATTTGATCTGAGCAAGCACCAAGGCAGCTTGACAGCCATTATGGCTCGCATTTAGCTTTCGAGCGGTGCTCAGAGTAGTTGCCATGAAGAGAAGGCGATTGATTGGCAAGCAATCTGTCGCAGCTTCTTGCCGAGGCGTAGGTGACATTCTGACTGAGGCGCTCCAGAAGTCGCGGACCGAAGTTCTAGGTTTCTTAGACTTCCGAGCGTGCTGTCGGCTTCAGGCTGCCGCGGGTTTTTGGCGTGGTTCTACATGGAACAGGCCTCCGCAGCACCTGGAGAGTCTTTGGTGCCGTTTGTCCAACATCACACGGCCCTTCCTTGAGGACCAAGACTGGTGCCACTTAGAAGCTGCATCGCCGTACTGGCTACAGAACGCGGTTGGCGAGGCATCGTGGCAAAGACTCTTGGTAGAGCGCTTCGGCGCGATTCCTGCCATTCCTGGCCTGGAAGCATTAGCAAATCTGCCCACAAGACGTATGGCACAGAAGTATCTCTACTTTCTGCATGTCTCCTGGCGCATAGTACCTGGAGAACGTGCTGCAGGCATCCGCATCGGACTGGAGAAGAGAAAGCTTCTCACGAAGCCTTGTGACACCATCGTGCCTCCTACTATATACCGGAGTACCTCAGCCCCGGGAAAGGCTACTATTTCTTGGACTTCAAGCCTATCGGAGGCCCCGTTGAGTGGTGGGAGAGGTTGGCGGACGAGAGGGCGCGCCAGTCGTTCGACCTGCCTGTTGCACATGAGGAAGTGACGCTCCCGCCGCGTGTCTACGATGCCGTCAACACCGACTTCACCGGACAATGCCTCACAATCTGGACGGACGGGGCTGTTGTCAGGGCCGTTGGATGTCACCAAGCTTCGCCGAAGTTTGGTTTCGTGGAGATTCCAGGACGCCCGGCGATCAAGGGGATATCTGTCGGAATCAAATGTCAACAGCTCCTGGACAAGCTTGGTGCTGTCATCGATGACATCATCTTCGGTGACAGCAACCCTGGCGGTCCAACCATCTTCTTCGAGCAGTTGCCACGGGTGAGCTTCGAAGTAGACGCAGAAAATGGCGGTTTGGCAGAGGTAGATGACTTCACGTCGTATCAGGATATCAACTGGCTGCTGCCACGCCTCCACTTCCCTATCAGCGCCATTTTTGTTTGGTGAGTTGTGCTTATACCCTCGGCTGAGTTGTACGGCTGCCAAGCAACCGGTCATTCCTGTTTGGGCCAACGCGCGATCGTGGGGGGGCGATGCACGGTGCGTGATTGGCGAAAAGAGCTTGTTTGAAGAGCGCCCATGCGAGCAATCATCCTCGAAGTTTACGCATGCCGTTTTTCAGCCCTGATTTGCTGCCGGAGGCTCGCAGACACGGCGATCCTGCGGCACTTGGTGCAAAGAACCTTTGCGACTGGGTCTGCAGCAGGTGGCCTTGTTCTTTTAAGCTTTAGTGCTCATGTCCCTGGTACGATGTAGGGTTTTGGGCTCAGGGGCTGCATGCTCTCGCGAAGAGCTGCACCATGGAAAGCCGCTGCTGGCTAGATGATGCTAGATGAACGTTTCCTTCTAAGTCAAGGCATGATGGGAACCCTTCAACAGCGAGAAAGTCTACGCTTGTTGAATCATGTTGATGGCACGCCCTCGTTGGCGCGATAGGAGTGCCTCTAGCTACGTGTGAATTTAAGGCTTCAGGGTCATCGCTTCATGGCTTAGGTTGCACCCCGGCCAGCCCTCAATAGAGAAGGGGCTCCGCCATGAATTGCAAACAGGCTGTTAACCAACAACTGCGCAGAGGTCGGCCTCAACCGGTAAACAGTAGCTGACGAAACAGGTCTGTTCCGCACCAAGGAGCAAAAGGAGCTGGCGAAAACGATGTGCATTCGACGTCCCTGAGAGTCGCTTCCAAAAGGGTAAGACAGAGCTGGCGACGCATGCGACGCGTTGGCCCCCAGGCAAGAGGAAGTTGTTGCCGAAGTCGGCTCCCCATGGCGAAAACAGGCGAATGGGTTGTGTCTCCAGTCCCTTTATAAAGGATCTGCAAGATGGATGCCTTCGGAAAGCTTACTAGTATCTTAATCCATATATTGGTGGGCCTGGAATGGCCCAATATTGGCCCAACATGCAGCACGGCCTTGTGGAAGCAGTTTGCTTCCCGTAGTCTGCTCCAACTCGTGAGAAAGACTTGCAAAGCACTCGTGCGTCATTTGTCTCCACGGCTGTTCCAGCACAGCTTGGCAGTATCAGACATAGCAACTCCGTAAAAGACTCGATCCACCAAGCACGCGCTTTACCGCTAAGCTCGAATGATGTGTCAATGCCTCTCCACATGCAAAGGCACACCAAGTATGCACTGGGTCCACTCCAAATGCTGCACCAGGAAGATGTCTCAAATGATCTGCGATCCGCGAGGAGAAAAGCCGCAACGCTATTCTCGGCAACACACACTCTATCCATCTTTCTATCTATGTATCTATCTATCTATGTATCTATCTATCTATATATTACAGTGACAGGTAGGTGCAGCAGTAAAAGGAACATGCGCTATTCTAAACATATTGATAGTCCCCCTGCATCGTAGGTTCGTCCTAGCCAGGCGGGAGGCAAAAATAGTCACGGGGAGAGCTGAGGAAGAGCTGGACAGCCACCTGGATCGAGTGGAGGCCCTCCTTGGAGGCCGAGTTTAGGGAGTTGGGCTCGCCTTGTTGGTGTGCGGATTCGGGTTCGCGGCTTTTTTTTTCTTTGCTGCGCAGCTTTTAGATGGGGGCCACGGATCCTTGGTGCGGGTCTAAATCAGGGTTTCCTTCTTGATAGCATGTTTCTACGGGGTCGACCCCACCATGCTAACGCTGAATTAAGGAGGATCCAGCGCAGAACCCAGTTGAATAACTGGTATAAGAGACAGCTCCGTCCGAGTGCGACGGGTGACGCCTGTGCTTGAAGGCATTACTTAGAGCCACTGTATGTGCTTTTGAGGGGAGGTTCGTTTGCGGCGAGACTTGTACTAATGCAAACACACATTCTGCTGATAAGGGTCAATGCTGCCCTGACACTCAGCGGTGGTATATCAGAAGCAGAGCAGAAACAGAGAGATTGCCCAAGTAGCTTGGCAGAAACAGTGCATGTCACTCTCGTCATTCAGGGCGAATCTTTCCCGGCGACCAGTCAGTCAATCCTTTCCCGAGAATCTGCTGCAATAAAGAGCTATTATTCGATTGATTCATGGCCCGCATGTGAGTCTTTTTCGTGACAGGACCAGCCGTCCGAAACGACGGGCTCGGGGCCCAGGATTCGGGGCAGTTTGGGGAGGGTGATGGTGTCGGCTTCTAGATCGAAGGGCGTGTCCAAACGCAAGCCCGATTCCCCCATCCAACAGCACATCATCGTGGTCGTCATTCTTAAGGAGCAAGACATGAATCATTTTCGCTGCTTTCGCATCGTCACGCTTGATCCCATGCTTATGCCACACCGCCACCATCACTGAGGGCAGCGCCGCAGTACGCCCACACCTGTCCCGACTTCCACAAGCCCGGATGAGGTGGAGCACCTTAGCTAATGCTGCTTGATCAAATTTCGCGAGGGCTGGAAAACCACTTGAACAGCCGGCTCTCATGGGTGTTGGTGGGGGTTGGTGCAGTTCAGCGATAATGTTACGATTTTGTTATGGTTCAGGGTTTCGTCCCGCTTATGGTTTTGAATATGGCAATATGGCCATGGCTTTCTTATGCTTTTGTTTTGGTTTTGAATATATGGGTTTGCGCTACGTAGGAAGCTCAGAAAGCATCTCGGCTGCAAGTCGAAAGCCAAATAACAGAAAACAGCAAACACATATCAAAACCAGCCTGGAGGAGGCTGGGGACGTGTCCAAATCGTATCCAAGCCGTATCAAAATCGTGCATCCCCAGTCGAGTGGCTCTGCATGGGCACCTGTCACACCGTGACGCAGCCCGTGTTCCCATTGCGTTCGTTTCGGAGAGGGAGCTGCAAACAATAATCCATAAACAAATCATAAACCAAACCATAAGAAAACCTAATATCATAATCATAAACCTCAATAATCACAACGACATCGTAAAACTCACGGATTCGTGAAGCCATAGCGAAACCGCAAGTTACCCTTAAAATGAACATTCCTGGAATCTGCTCTTTCCCACGATTCTTGGGGGCATCAGAAATCTAACTGTCTACTGGGAGCAATCGCATGCGAACCTGGAGCCGGCTGTTTCACAGTCTCGCAGTAAACCAGAGCACCTCCCTGAGGTTTTGGCTGGCAGCCTATTGCCAGCCTGCTATCCAGCCAGGGATGAGATCAACAGCTTGCGTGTTAGGCATCATGCTCTAGGGGTCGCAAGACTTGTTTAGCAAGTGGTAAGACAAAGTCGATTGCTAGCACATTGATAGCACTAAGCCAAGAATGCTGAGGCTATGTCGAAGTGGTTTGGTTTGGAGATATATCGTCCAGGAATCTGCTGCGAAGCAGGGCGGAGAGAGCACAGAGATTCGCGCCCAAGGCGCAGGTTTTGAGTTTGAACTCGGGAGTTGTAGCTCTTCAGACATGGTTCCGGGTGAGCTTCGGCTTGGGTTCCACTCCAAGATTCAAGCTGCTAGCAGAAGGCTCTTGCAGGGGCCTTCCTCATGGCGTGGGGTCGTTTTGGGTCTGAGAAGTGAAATCGCAGATGCTTGACAGGTTGAGGTTTAAGGAAGAAGCATCACTATGCGGAATTGGTTTGGTTTGGGTGTGCCACGGCAGGTGAAAGTCAAGTCTTTTGCTGCTCATGCCCCGTGGCCTCACGCCGCTCAACGTATAGAGGCAACCAAGGCACGATGATTCCCGGACAACATCATGGGCATCATGCAGCAATCAGAAGCTGGCACGACCCTCCTGGATGCCTCCTGTTCCGTCCTACTGTTGCTAGGAAGAAAGTCGCCATGCCCAGCAGTCATGTAGTGTTTCCTAGTGTCAGGGCAGATGTATTTGTGCCAGCCTGTTAACTGATGTATTCCAGCAAGAGTCGGACCGTGAAAGGTTGTGGAGGTGGAGCTAAATTGAAAGACAACTGACCTAGTGTGAGTAGCAGTAACAAGAGGACGAGTCGTAGAAGGAGCAGCATTATAAGTTGAAACGATCCTGCTGCTAGAGCACGAGCAAAGTCCGTGCTGAGAGCACTGGCAGTAAGAAAGCACAACTCTACCAAAGGCGTGACGTTGGCATTTCTGTGTGGACCATCTCGCAGTCTTGGTTCCAAATTCATTATCGCTGGCTTGCGAGCACATTAGGGTTTCCTTTTCTGGAGGATGGGATGTCGTTTGGTATGATGCACAGCGGGGAACCCTAATTTGCAGCAGCTCTCATATTATGTCTGCATGTAACATGCCGGCACCTTTTATCAGAGATGGGGAGTCGATGGATCATGCAGCACGCCAGCTTAACCGCAGAGATCTCAAAGGACGGTTTTTGCTGCTGTCGGTCCTACGATCTGCCCCAGCATACAGTATGTCGCCATGTAGATGGCTTTCCCGCCGCAGCCGGGCGACGAAAAAGCATGGTAGACACTGTCTTGCTGATGAGCTTGTACTTGGTTTTGCCTGGACAGACTTGCCCATGCGACTGATTAAGGGTGTCAAAGTTGGTGTTGGTCTCCTTTGCTGCCTGTCTAAATCCCCGGACTGTTTACACATGCGACTGCCGTAGTGTATGTCAGGTTGCAGCTTCGGGGTTGTAATGTTGAATAACGATCATGGCTTTAAACCATGGCAGAGCTAGCAGTGACGACAATCACCATGTTGAGTAAAAACCGGCAATATCGAACAAGTCAACAAACTGGCAGCCAAGAATAGCAGGAATGCGGGGCAATGACATGAATAGCAGCAGTGACTCCTGCACTCTACTGTTGGGGGAGGGCGGCTCTCAGCCTGATCATGAAATTGGTATTTTGCGGTCTGACTGTCTGACTTGTTGCTGTCCTCGGAGTGGCTTGTGTTGGTCTTGTTGCCTCAGCAACATTACTGCCCGATACTTTCTTCTGCTTCCAACTCCCCAAAACCACAAAATAAAGCAAGCTGCCCGTCGTACCGGACCTGACACGGTTTGCAGGAAGCTGACGGTGGCAAGCTCAAATTCAGGACCCGGCTGGGCATCATCTTCAGGGTTTAAGACCCAGGCCCCTTATAGGCCCTCTAGGCGAAACGTTAAGCTCCAGGTCGGGGCGTCCAAGGAGGAGGTTGCATTGGTGGGGGGTTTGGGGCAATGGCCGGCTGAATAGTTGCGGGGTGCATCGGCGGCCGTTGAAGCATTTCTGATTGATAGTATTTGCGCGGGTGTGCCTGATCCTACAGTAGATCCTCAGTGCCATGGCGCTGGTAGCTGTATCTTGTCAGATGAAGGACAGACAAGGGAACAGAGCTTGTCGTCGACAATGTGGCTAGCTCGGGACAATTTTCCACGCGCTGATTGGTTTATGAAGATATCTGATTGAAATTTGACTGCGCTTCCCTGCAGTGCTGGACATGCCGGAGGTATGACATTCTTCCACGCAGCCCTTTTGTCCAGGCAGAAGTGCACCTTCACGCTCTTCCCCTCACTATCTGAAGCGAACAGTTTTGATCCGCCATGGCCCGGTCCTGTCTGCTTGCTGTTGCATGCTTGATTGGGACCCAGCCCAGCTTGTCCGAGCTGGCGGACGACAATTTGCCCACCGAGGCGGGGCGGGTGGTTCCTTCTGTCCCATTAGCAACCCCGACAGTCCCCCACAATGCATGCCTTAAGCAGCTGTCGGTGTTGCAGGGCCCTGCCGCAGCTATGTGAACTGTGATGCTCGAAAAGAACTAGTCGCGATGCTAAACACCAGGGCCGTAGGACGCACTGCGAGGACTGAGGTTTTGGACGGTAGCCAACACTAACACTTGTTGTCGTTTGTGCATTTTGCCGTCGGTTAAACTAAACGATACGGATACCGACACAACCTATTTTGTTGTAGTTCCGTTTAGGCGCATGGTTTTTCCAGTCTGGTTGAAGTTAAGAACAGCTCAGCTGCAGGGCCCTTGATTCTAAGCCCCCTAAGCCGACCCCAAAAGCCTGAATCTCCAAACCCTGTCGGTGTCGTTTTGGCAGGCCGATGACACCTGCCAGGGCGGCACCGAAGCTTGTCAACATCTGCTGCAGCCTGTGCTAATTCGAGAGTTTAACGACTCGAGCCTGGTTGCAGCCTTCGGGCCTTCGCGCGCCATGTGGTTACACTCATTGGCCGCAGTCTTTAAGACGCTTTGTAGTCACAGCGTCGCAGGTCACCAAAGCCGCCACGATACAGTAGCTACAAACATGCCCCTGTGGCAACCACAACTGGGCAAGTTTGTGAGGCTTGCCACTTACTCCTGTGGCGTGTGTATTCACTTGTGACATGCTTTCACATACTCATACACAGACAGACTGGTCTAAAGAGCTCGCGCACAAACCTTCCGCTACGGAATGGAGCTAGTCCGACCTGCAGCAGGCTTTCATGAGACAGCCATCGCGACATGCAAGCTTGAGCTGCCGCTAGCTTTGAGGAAGAGTGCGACCTGTCTTTGCGACAGCTCCGGGCGGACAAGATTGCTGCGCTCACACAAGAGGCGGGGAGAAGATGGTGAGGAAATAGCCAAAATGGGGTGTACCGGAACCTGAAACAAGTGTCGGGTAATTGTCCGAAGGAGGAGCAGACCGTCCAGAGGTCCCTGGCAGAGAAATCCGAGGACTGTAATTTAATTAGTTTGAGAGCTTGCGTGGGTTTTTCGGGTTGCATGCTTTGGAACATAGGGATAAGAAGGCTGCGGCCCTTCAATGTGAAGTGTTGGGGGTGTTGGGGGCCTCTTACGGACGTCTTGATGAAGGCGTCGAGTCCATGAGCATCCATGTCTCTGAGGTTCGTTGGCCGCTGATTTGTCGTTTTCAAGCGACTACCCTAGGCGACCTCTTATCAGCTTTTCTTCTTTCCTGCTTCCCGGGATGAGTATCCTAATTGGCAGCCGCAAGCCCAAGCTTCGCGCTCGCCGACCGGGAGGTTGAGGGTTTAGGGCTTGCGTGGTGCAGGGGACTGAACAGAGCAAGGCCTCTACAGTATGGAGAACTATGGCAGGCATGAAAAAGGCATAGGGCAGCGTTGTTTTCCAGTGTGCCCTGTTTTGTGTAAGGTCGGGCAGCAAGGCTTCTCACAACTCGATGGGTGGTGCCAGGAGGAAGGAAGCCGCACGAACAGCTCGTGGTACTGGGGCTTGGCACACGGTGGCTCCTGGACAGGCCATGGTGCCAGACTGAAGAATCTATGACACGTCTTCACGTTGGACGGAGTGTAGATCCCGATTTTGGGGACCATGAACATCCGTTTGCTTGTCTTTCGAGGTCCTTTCACTTCTCACGTTACCAAACTCTCTGCACAGTTTCTGCTGTAACGTCGGCATCACGAAGCACTTCTTAACTAGTTCTTGCCTTTTGCGGCAGGGTCGTAACGTAGTCGACTTGTACCAAAGGTTCGCGAAGATTCATGCGGGCCTGTGCCATCAGT